AGGCTTCAATGTGGGTCTTTTAACAATGGGGAAATGATTGGTTTAAGGATATAAAACTGCAGTTGGACAAGAGGCATGGACTCTGTGATGTCTTGAGGTCTACTGAGAGCATGATAAATATGGTTGATAACAATATGCTATATTTTAAAAGTTGTGAGATGGTATACTTTAAGTGTTCTCAAAACAAAACTGATGAATATGTGTGATACAACATGTTAATTGGTTTAATTTAGCCATGCCATTGTGAACATACTGTATTCTGTATCATAATTGTGCATGACTTTATTTATGAGCTAAATAAATGAATGGAAAAAAACATCAAAAATGAAAAAAATGCAAACCACTTTTGAAAGCAATATGTAACTTAATTACTGTTTTTTCTTTTTTCTTTTTGAGGCGGAATCTGACTACATAGGTCAAGCTGGCCTAGAATTTACTATGTATCCCAGTCTAGCCTTGAACATGGACTAATCCCACTGCATCTGCCTCTTTGGTATTGAGATTATAGGTATGTGCCTTTATAAGGGCTAATTCTATTTTTAACTGCTTATTGAAATACATTGTTTATTTTATAAAAGATTTATATCCAATATTTTCATAATTTTAAGTATTAAAATCATAACATCAAATAGATAAACAACATATTATAGCTCAGTTATACCTTTACTTCATATTCAAGAACATCTAAGGGCATTAAGCATGGTAGTACATGACTATAACCCCAGCATTCAAGAAGCTAATGCAGGAGGATTGCCAAGTCCCAGGTCAATCTTGAGCTACATAGGGAGACCCTGTCTCAAAAGAGAAATCCTTGAGGCTGTGGTTATAGTTCAATTGTAAAGCATCTGTCTATGATGCATAAGGCATAAGGGTCAAGCCCCAGCACTGAAATGAAAAAAGGGGTAGGGGGGAGATTGTGAGCTAAACTATTATTTTAGATCAGTTTTTTGTTTTTTGGGTTTTTTTTTTAAAGATTTCTTTATTTATTATGTATACAACAATCTGCCCCCAGATATGCCTGCACACCAGAACAGGGCACCAGATCTCATTATAGATGGCTATGAGTCACCATGTAGTTTTTGGGAATTGAACTCAGGACCTCTGGTAGAGCAATCAGTGCTCTTAACCACTGAGCCATCTCTCTAGCCCCAGTTTTTTTTTTTTAATTATTATTATTTCCAAATACAAAAACTGTTACCAATTCCAACATTTTTCCCTTTTGGTTGAGACAGGGTTTCTCTGTGTAACCTGGATGTTTAGGAACTTATTCTGTAGATCAGGCTGCCTTGAACTCAAGAGAACTACGTGTCTCTGCCTCCTGAATGCTGGGATTAAAGGTATGCACCACCACTACTTGGCCACTCTAGTTTAAACACCAAATACAATCAATACCACTGCAGAGTTTTTGTGCAAACTGTTTTTCATTCCTAAAAGTGTTTCACCTTTTTAAAAAGATTTATTTATTTATTTATTTGTTTATTTATTATGTATAGTGTTCTGCCTGCATGGATGCCTGCATGTCAGAAGAGGGCACCAGAACTCATTATAGATGGTTTTGAGTCACAATGTGGTTGCTGGGAATTGAACTCAGGAATTTTGGAAGAGCAACCAGCCAGTGCTCTCAACCTCTGAGCCATCTCTCCAGTCCAGTGTTTCACCTTTGTCGAGGAGAAATGAGGACAGGCAAAAAATATTATAATTATTTTCATTAAAGCTGAAATTGTACCTCAACCAATCAATAGGAAAAAAATTGAGTCCATTCTAGAAGTAAGACCACACTTTGCAATCAGAGGAAGGAGTTCAGCTCATTTACATTGAAAGCACTAGCTTTCCTGTGATTTATTAGATAACCTTGCCAGCTGCAATTTTCTAGCCAGGGGGGCCATTAGCATTACAAGCCCACATCACACTTTTCATAACAATAAGCTCTGTCTTATACATCATATTAAAAACTCTCAGCACCACACTTAGATACTGTGCTGGCCAGTTTTATGTCAACTTAACACAAGCTAAAGTCACCTGAAAGGAGGGAATCTCAATTAAGAAAATGCTTCTATAAGATCAGGTTGTAGAAGAGGAGAGACTACCTTAAATGCCCCCCCTGATAATGAGACTGATGACTGACTTATATACTACCCCATAGCCCTCATCCAGCAGCTGGTGGAAGTAGAAGCAGACACCCACAACTAATCACTGAACTAAACTGGAATCCAGTTGCAGAGAAGGATGAGTGAGGAGCAAAGGGGTTCAAATCAGGCTAGTGAAACCCACAGAAACAACTGACCTGAACATCGGGGAACTCTTGCTCCCCAGACTGATAGCTGGAATACCAGCATGGGACTGATCCAGACGCGAGGAACATGGGTTTCAGTGAGGAAACCTGGGAAATCTACGGGACCTCCTGTAGTAGTTCAGTACTTATCCCTAGCATAGGTGTGGACTTTGGGAGCCTATTCCACATGGAGGAATATGCCCTGAGCCAAGACACACGGAGGAGGGCCTAGGCCCTATCCCAAAACTACGATAGACTCTGATGACACCCTATGGAAGGCCTCACCATCCAGGGGGAGTAGAAAGGATATGTGATAGGTAGGGTGTTTTTTTTGGGGGGTGGTGGTAAGGGAGGAGGGGAGGGAGTGGGAACTGGGATTGACATGTAAAACAATCTTGTTTCTAATTCAAATAAAAAAAGGAAAAAAAACAGATCAGGTTGTAGGGAAGACTGTAGGACATTTTCTTAATTAGTAATCGATGGGGGAGGGGCTAGCCCATTGTGGGTAGTGCCACCCCTGGGCTAGAGATCTTGGTTCTATAAGAAAACAGGCTAAGCAAGCCAGAGTGAGAAAGCCAGTAAGAAGCATCCTTCATGGCCTCTGCACCACTGCCTGCCTCCATGTTCTTGCCCTGTTTGAGTTCCTGTACTGACTTCCTTCAATGATAGACTACAATGGGGAAGTGTAAACCAATTCAACTCTTTCATCATTAACTTGTTTTTGGTTACGATGTTTCATCACAGCAACAGTAGTAACCCCAGCTAGGATAGATACTAATATCATAAGCTCAATTAGATATCAACTAGATTTTAAATTGTACTGCTGTCTGGGCCCCATCTGTTTATATGTAAGTCCTCTGAGAACACAATAGGATATCCTTGCCCACAGTTTTACTTGTGACTCACGTAAGGTAGGTGCCCCTGGTGTTCACATTCATCATCAAGTCCACTCTCTTTGTAGGAGTATCCAATGTGTTGGTCAAGCTAATAGCACTTGCATTGTTCACCAAAATATCAATTCCTGTTTCCAAAGACATAAATTCCATTTTAATGCAAGTCAGAGTCTCTCTCCCCCCCTCCCATTTTAATGCAAGTCAGAGTCTCTCTCTCTCTTTCTCTCTCTCTCTCTCTCTCTCTCTCTCTCTCTCTCTCTCATATACACAAAACATTTCCTCTATGGTTGATCGCTCAGCTGACTCACAAATATAAACAGACAGACACACACACATATAGGTGTATCACACACACACACACACACACACACACACACACACACACACACAGGTGTATCACTCACACATACACACAAAATTAGACTATATGGCTGATCAATATACCAATGCCAGATCCAGTAACTCTTTCAAAACTTATTTTCACTGGCATAGTGGAAATACAGTCAATTACCAGAGTTCTATGGAAAACTGCAAGGACGTTTAGCGCTTACAAGTTGTAGCTTTAACCCCTAAGTACCAGTCTTCTCTCACTGGCTCCAGGAACCTTAATTCCCTGTAGTACTCTCAGACCCATGACCTTTCCAAGAATACTAGTCTCCCTCTCCACACAGTTCCTTTCTTTCTTCTTTCTTCCTTTTTTGTTTTTTTGTTTTTCAAGACAGGGTTTCTCTATGTTACACTCCTGGCTGTCCTGGAACTCACTCTGTAGACCAGCCTGGCCTCGAACTCGGAGATCCATCTGCCTCTGCTTCCCAAGTGCTAGGATCAAAGGCATGCACCACCACCACCCAGCCACAATTCCTTTCTTAAGGAACGGGCTCCTTTCTGGTCTTAGAAACTAGGGAAAGAGAATGATCTTGAGTTTCAAATCCCAAACAAGACTTTTTTTGTGACTCATACACAGAAACACACACACACACACCTAAAATAATTCCAATTTCTGTATACTCTATCCAGAGTGTGTGTGTGTGTGTGTGTGTGTGTGTGTGTGTGTGTGTGTGTGTGTATGTGTCTTGTTTTCAGTGAAATGCTTAACAATATTAGATGAAAATTTTAGTGAAAAGGTAAAACTTCTCTATTTCATTGAAAATACTTCTATGCAGAGTGTGCTAATTAGATCTACGGTGAGAACAACCATTTGTGACTTGTGAAGAAGTTACAAGAAACTCAGGCTACCTACCAGATGCCTTCAGTGAGTCATGTACTCTAAATTGCAGGTTGCAACAGAAGAGACTGCAGTCACATAAGTTTCATTCTACATTATTCTCACTGCTCCATTTTACTGATATTGTTAATCTCTAACTAGGCCTAGTTCATGTAACATGTATCACAGGGAAAAGCAGCATAAATAGGGTCACATACTACCCATGGTTTCAGGCATCCACTGGTTTTATCAATGTTTAGTAATTATTTCAGAATCAAGGGAATACCTCCAAATTTCTCCACAGCTTTTTCCACTGCATTGTTGATTTGCTGTTCATCTCTCACGTCAACAACACATGGCAAGGCCTTTCCTCCAACTGCTTCAACTATAAAGAGGCAAACAAAAACCATGAAATTGCTTATAATTACACCTTCATATGATGCAACAATAGTAAAAAGAAAACCTTCCTCATTTCTGGAAGAAATAAAGTTACAGTATGAGGTCTTACAACCACAATAGACCCAACCAGCTGGGGCTCTGCAGGCTCCAGGCACGAACACAGTGCATACACATATAAGCAGGCAAAACACTAATACTAACGCACACAAAATAAATCCATCTAAAAACAAAATGTCCACCCATCCTACCGTCAAATATCTCTTCACTTCCATTCTGCCTCCACTTCCCACCCAAGAATAACTACTCTAAAGAAATTATTTTTTTTCCCAATCTGGGAATGGAACCCTGGACTTTGTACCTCCAACTTAAAGTCCCAGCTCTGAGATGTGATTAACCCAGATATGATTAACTAGAGTCTCTCATACTACTCAAAGGAGCTAGAGGTAAAAAAAAAAAAAAAAAAAAAAAAAAAAGTCAGAACTCCCTCTCTTGGTAACAAAATAAATACTCCTTTAAACACACAATTTTTTATTTTTTGAGACAGGGTTTCACTATGTAGCCTTGGCTGTTCAGGTTCTCACTCTGAAGACCAGGCTCCAGGCTGGCCAGGAATTCACAGATGTGCACCACCACTTACTTAGTTTATTTTAATGTACATGCACATGCTATGACATGCATGTAAAGAACAACTTGCAAAAGCCAGTTGTCTCCACAATGTGCCTTTGGGGATCTAGCTTGAGTTGTCAAGCTTGGCAGCAAACACCTTTCTTTACCTGCTGAGCCATCTCACCAGTCCTCTAAACACAATTGTTTTTAAAGTAACTTTCAACTAGCTTAAACTAAACTCTACAGCAAATTATGTACTGAAATCACTGTAAGGACAGTCTGTGAAACGGCAGTTGTCACACTCACTTTCTTCAGCAGCAGTGTAGATTGTGCCTGGGAGTTTCGGGTGTGTTTGGGTGGTTTTCGCAGCAATGACAATATTTGCTCCATCCTTCGCTGCTTTCAATGCAATAGCTTTGCCAATGCCTCGGCTTGCACCTGTGATAAAAATCGTGCATCCCGCTAGCTTCCTAAACAGAGCAAACAAAGATGATCTTATTAGAAACTTCACTGTTTTATTTATACCAGCTCATACACATTTTCATGATTTCCTGTATGCCCCCACAGATTATAATCCCACTATATTTCCACTGCACACAACTGATATTATTTATACAATTGCAGTAGGCCAGTCTTAACTGAGATCTGTCAAACAAAATCTGCTCAAATACAAAGTAAATCTTTTTGTTTGTTTATTTTTCAAGACAGGGTTTCTGTGTGTAGCTTTGGAACATGTTCTGGAACTCACTCTATAGACCAGGCTGGTCTCAAACTCACAGAGATCGCCTGCCTCTGCCTCCTGAGTGCTGGGATTAAAGGCAAGCTCCAGCACTGCCCAGCACAAAGTAACTCTTAAAGAAAAAATATGCATTTTCCCACCATAGAAAACATATTCACAAGGCTGTGTGTGGTGAATAGGATGTATGTGTGCAGACATATGTGCCTAAGTGGATGCAGAGACCAGAGGAACACCTCAGGTACCCTTCTCTAATCACTCTCTACTCCAATTCTCTTGAGACAGGGTCTCTAGTGAGCCTGGGGCTTGGCTGTAACTTAGCCTATGGCAAGTTAGCTGTATATAACTCCAGGATCCTCCACTCTCTGCCCATGACAGAGTTACAGGATGTCAGGCTATAGGTTAGTGTACCCATACCAGATCTTTTACAGAGGAGCTGCAGATCTAAACTCAAGGTCCTCAGGCTTACTCAGCTGGCACCTTTACCCATGGACTCATCAGCTAACCTGAGATTTTTTTGTTTTGTTGTTTGGAGACAAAGTCTCAAGCAGTACAGGCTGGCCTTTATCCCCTAATCCTCCTATTTCTACCTCCTAAGTGCTGGGATACAGGCATGTACCACTATGCCTATCAGCAAGTTCATTAGTGAGTAGCAGACTTACACATAAATTTTTATTCCTTACATCTATAGTGCTTTTAAATTTTTCTACAATAAATACATAACACTTGATCTTTAAAAAATCTCTAAAAATACTAGCTAGAGTGGAAAAATCCCAAATATGGATTAACTAATGAATGGATAAATATAAGTGCTTTGCCCCCACAATGGAATAGGGTTCAGTAATACAATGGAATGACTAAAATATACTACAGTATAGACAAACCATCTAACCACACAGACCACACATTATTAAGACTCTATTCTATGACATGGACAGAACAGTCAAAGCTGTAGAGACCGTAAGACCATCAGCTGCCTGGAATGGGAGTGGGAGGGTTTGGGAGCCAACAGCTGAGGCCTAGGAACTTCTTTCTGGGATGATAAAGGTTTTAAATTGATTGTCTTAATTTTTTTATGCAGATGCAGAACCACTGACTGATTGGTGTAAGAATTACATTCAGGAAAGCTGTTAAAAAAGACTAAAAGGAGCAAGAAAAGGTTAACTAAAAATAGCCCTGGTGGCACACACCTTTAATCCCAGCACTCTGGAGGCAGAGGCAGGTGGATCTCTGTGAGTTCGAGGCTAGCATGGTCTACAGAGCAAGTTCCAGGATAAGCTCTAAAGCTACACAGAGAAATGCTGTCTCAAAACAAAATAAAACAAAACAAAATAACCCTGATTCAAATATCCTGACATCCCTAGCTCCCATTTCATTCTCTATACCTCCCATCTTCACGTTGAATTTTCTGCTGTTAAATGACAACAAGAAAAGTGATAACAAGATAGGTGAGTTTGTTAACAAACAAACAGGAGGCTCCTGCTAGACCTGGGAGATTACAATGGAGTAGGACATGGTCAGTGCAGGCAGAGGTGGTTTTGAAATAAGGAATAATCATGTATTAGTTGCTTTTCTATTTCGTTGATAAAATACCATGACCAAAGCAACTTATAGAAGAGGAAGAGTTTATTTGGTTTTATGGTGCCAGAGGGAAAAGACTACTATCGCAGCGGGAAGGCCTGATGGCTGAATAGCAAGCTGGGAGCTCACATCTTAACTACAAGCAGGAAGCAGAGAGCAAACTGGGAATGGTGGCTTGGCTTTGAAGCCTCAAAGCTCACCGCCGTGACATACTTCTTCCAACAAGGCCACATATCCTAAACCTATTCAAACACCACCACCATCTAGGGATCAAGTAGTCAAAACTCTTGAGCTTCTGGGAAACACTGTCATTCAAAACATCATAAATCACTTTGATGGGAAGAAACCAAAGTAGAGAATGGAAAAGAGACAGAAAAGTAAAATAGATTAAACATACAAAAAGCATATAAAGTGAGCATATACAGCTTACATAGAAACAACTGTGTACTACTATCCAAGTCAAGAAACAGACTAGTACCAAAGCCACCAGCCCACTTCTCTGCTATGGTTTGAAAACAAAACATCCTCCACAGTCTTCTTTTTAACAATTGTTCCCAACTAGGGAGCTATTTGGGGTGTTCCTTTAGGGGGAGACTGGCAGGAGGAAGGTCACTAGGGGTGGGCCCTTGAAGGTTATATCTGGACCCACTTCCTACCCCTTTCTTTGTATCTTGGTCCACTGTGATGTGGAGCCTCCACATGTCCCACTGTCCCACCACCGCCACACACACACAACACGATGGATTGAGACCCTCTGAAATTATGAGTCAAAATAAGCCTTCCCTTCCTTGTTTCTGAAAGGTATTTTAGCCATAGCAATGCAAAATAACTAAAACATTCTCCAATTCTACCTGCTTCCTTCTTCAACCCCACAAAGCAAAAACTGCTTTAAATATTATTGTTCATTCTTTTAAAATCATTTCATACCTATGCATCTTAAGCCCAGTGTCACACAATTATGGCCCACAGGCCAAGTCCAAATCATTACTATGTGGGTAAAGAGAGGGCAAGAACTGAGAATGACCTTTACAGATGAACATTCACAACCAACGACAGAAAATACCAGCCTTAAATCCCAGTTTGTGGCACTTTGTCATAACATCCTATAAAGCTGTATCACTCTAGCAACCCTCAAAACTTCTCATGAGATACTCCACTACAAAAAATTATGCCCAATTATTTTGAATAGTCACAATAAAAACATTATGGAGATTGATTTTTATGTCTTACTATATAAGTGCATCTATCTCTAATGTTGCCTTTTGGTGCACAAAACCTATTTACTAGCTGGCCTTTTACAAAAAAGACTGTCAAACTATGGTCTGAACAACACACTTTTTAGGTTTTTCTATCTAATTTTGAACTTGATACAATAGATTCTGTTTAGAGAGCTGTCCATATGACATAAGTAACTATATTCACTTTTTCATCAATACACAAACCCCAGACATGAACATACTGTGAGTTATCCATTCTACCATTCAGCAATAGTGCTATAAATGTTGGTGAACTCATCTTCCAGTCACTTGTGCTAGTTTCTCTAGAGCACACATACACCAGTGAAACTGCTCTGTATGCATTGGTTTCTTGTCTCAGTGTGACAAAATGAAGGGAGTTGGAGAGTTGGCTCAGCAGTTAGGAGTGCTAACTGTTCTACCAGAGGACTGGAATGCAGCTCCCTGCATCCTTATCAGGCAGCTTATGAATGCCTGTAACTCCAGGCTCAAAGGATCCTACTCTCCCTTCTGGCCTCTGTAGGCATGCACAGACACACAGAAACAGATACACACACAAAGTAAGTATTTTTAAAAAGCAATGAAGAGTTTATTTGGTTCCCAGTTTGAGGGGATACATGAAGGGAAGGCATGACGGTGGGAAAGTGAGGCCTTGGTCACAATGTGACTCAGTCAGGAAGCAACAGAGTCCAATGCTGCTGCCGATTTCCTGGATTCTTCCTTTTCCCTTCTTGCTCAGTCCAGGCCCCCATCCCATGCTATGGTGCTTCTTCTAGTACTCAGGGTGGGTCTTCCATCTTCAGATAAACCCTTCTTTGAACCCCGCTCAGGCACACCCAGAGGCATGTCTCATGGTGACTCTAAATCTAATCAAACCACTGAAATCGGGAGGGTGCAAGGTTCAGTGGCAGAGTGATGCTTCATGTACAGAGGATCCTAAGCTCAACTTCCCCCACTATAAAGGGGGAGGAGGGTGCTGATATGACTCTTCTCTCACAAATTAACCATCATATCTTATATGACTCTGTAATGAATCAAAGAAAATCTCAACCACAAATTCTAGGACACTCCTTCAATCAAGAGAAACTGCATACCACCCCCCCTTCCCAATTCTGGCTTTGACCTCCTAGCTTCTGTTGGACAAAAGACTGTAATAAACCCAGTGTGATGGCACATGCCTTTAACCCCAGCACTCAGAGGCAGAGGCAGGTGGATCTCTGAGCTTGGAGCAGCCATGGTCTACAGCCAGGGCTACACAGAGAAACTCTGTCTCAAAAAAAAAAAAAAAAAAAAAAAAGCCAGGCAGTGGTGGCACTTGCCTTTAATCCCAGCACTCTGGAAGCAGAAGCAGGTGGATCTCTATGAGTTCGAGGCCAACTTGGTCTGCAAAGAAGTTCCAGTTCAACCAGGGCTGTTACACAGAGAAACCCTGTCTCAACCCCCCCCAAAATGGTCAAGGGTCAAGGGTCAACAGTCCAGCATATGCTTAGTACATATGAGGGAAGCCCTGGGTTTGTTGCTTAGTACCACAATGGAAAAATTTAGCTGTCAAGTTAGGCATGTGGCAATAGAAATCCCAAGATGAGCATGGTGATACACACCTGGAATCCCGGATCTTGGAATGTTAAGGCAAAGATTTACCAAAAGTTCCATGCCAGCCTGGAATATACAGTCAGTTCCAGGCTAACCTATGTTAGAGTCTCTACCTGAAAGAGAGAGAAGGGGGATGGGGAGCAGGGAAGTAGGGAAAGGGAGATAGATAAAGGAATCACTGAGATTTTGGGATAATAATAACTAGATACTGACAGAGACCTGACTCCTCTAAATGAGGACAGGGACCTGGGAGCTAGGTTAGAGAATATAAAAAGAATTTTTCCAGGCTATCACTTATGTCAAAGGGGAGAACAAAGATGCCATCTGTTCTGTCAATAAGACAGAACAAGAGATAGATGTGTAGAGGTCTGGAGAGATGGCTCAGTCAGCAAAGTGCTTGCCACAGCTTGAAGATCTGAATTCCAGACCTCATACTCACATAAGAAGCCAGCTGTGGTAGTGCAAACTACAGGAGAGATCTTTGTGAGTTCAAAGCAAGCCTGGTCTACATATCAAGTCCCAGGCCAGCCAGGACTACACAATGAGACCCTGTATCAAAAAAGAAAGGGAAAAAAAAAGTATACATAAACTACTAAAGAAATGTTTAGAAGCTAGAGAGATGGCTCAGAGGTGAATTAAGAGAGCCTGGCACTGTTGCGGGGGACCAGATTTCAATACTGAGCACCCACATCAGACAGCTCACACTTTAACTCCAGCTCCAGAAACACAGACACCCTCTTATAGCCTCCATGGGCACTGTACACTCACAATACACACACATGAAAATAAAAATACAAATAAAGAGATGTCTAATGCTAAGTATTCACATAAAATGTCTGCCAACTTTTGATTTACAGGCTTATCCCTTAGTCTGGAGTATAGCTGGACTGAATCCCAGTAGGATAAAGGGCATATTCCTGCTCACCCAGAGCCCAGGATGTTGGCAGTAAGAGCAGCAGAGGAAGCCAGATCAGTCCTACTAAGCCTCTAGCTGCAGAACATCAGGATCAGGGTGCCAATAGCAAAGGCATTCTTGTTTTGGGGGTTTTTTGTTTGTTAGTTTTGTTTTGTTTTTCAAGACAGGGTTTCTCCGTAGAACAGCATTGGCTGTCCTGGAACTCTGTAGACCATGCTGGTCTTGAATTCACAGTCTGTCTCTGCCTCCCAATATCTGTCTTGTAACATCAAATGTAAAAACATATATTCTTTTCCATCCAGAAATTTCAATTTCAAGAATTTATCCTAGAAGGTAAATTCGCCTATGTGCAAACAGACGAATAGAAGAAGGATAATGAAGGCAGGCATGGTGGCACAGGCCTTTAATACTAACACCTAGCAAAGGCAGGCAAATCTCTGTGAGTTCAAGAGAGCAGCTTGGTCTGCATAACAGCCAGGACAATACTCAAACAAAACAAAATAATAATAATGGAAGCAAAGATGGAATAAATACAATACCAACAAGAGAGATAACAAAAGCGTACATAATTTAGTGTCAACAATACGGAACAGGTTAAATAAATGACAGTCTTCAATAATAATATGCAACTATTAAAGAGGACATGGAAGAGCTGCATGTACTGGAAACCTATGTACACCCAAAGACATGTTAGGTAAAAACAGCAAGTCCAAAGTGGAGTTTGCTACTATTTTCTAAAAGGTAGGAGATGTCTCTGTAGGTTGTACAAAATTTATAAATGCAAAGAATATAAACGCATCAGAAAGAAATCAAATATTTAAGGATTAAGAGATTTTCATTTATACTCTTTTAAACTATTTAAGTCTTTTAGCTGTCTATATGTGTCAAGCTAATTACAGATGGGCTTGTCACCTGCTTAAGATATCCAAACTTTATAGAACACAGTAGACCTACTTGAGTTTGGCAAGGACTAAGTAGGGCAGGAAGAACATTGTTTAATAGGTATTTGTTTTGATTTTGCAAGGCTGAGAAGTCCTGGCGATTGGTTACACAACCATGTTAATATATATGTGGGGTTTAGGGGGAGGGCGTAGACAGGGTTTGGTGATATATTACTTATTTATTAAAGCTTGTTTGAGGATCCAGAAAGCAAAGTCAGCCACAGTCATAAAATCCAGACACACACCTTCAATCCCAGCAGCCAGAAGCTAGGAGGTGGTATTCACACCTTAATCCTAGGACTCTGGATTAAGAGGTAGACCCATCTCTCTGAGTTCAAGGCCACCCAGGGATACATGAGACTGAATCAGTCTAAAAGAATAACATCACAAGCCTTTAATCCCAAGTACTAGAGGGGTATAAAAGATAAAAGCAGGGTCTTCAGGGTTGAGGAGGAGGCATTCACCAGCCCACACTGAAGACAGGAGCATTCATTCTCCAGCCATATTAAAGGAGAGGCAGCGTTTGAGGCTTGGTGAAGAGTTTGTGGATCAGCCCTTTCAGCCTGAGCTAGAAGTGAGAGCTAGTAACTGGCTGCTTCGATTTTCTGAACTTCAGCTTGAAGCTTGAACCTCAATATCTCTGGGTCTTTTATTTTTCGTGTTACAACAGGGTCTCACTCTGTAGCCTTTGCTAACCTACTCACTATGTAGACCAGGAGAGCCTTGATCTTTCTGAGCCTGCCTCTGAGTGCAGGGATTAAAAGTATATGCCACAGCCTGGCGTTGGTGGTGCACATGCCTTTAGTCCCAGCACTCAGGAGGCAAAGACAGGTGGATTTCTGGGAGTTCGAGAACAGCCTGGTCTACAAGAGCTAGTTCCAGGATAGCCTCCAAAGCCACAGAGAAACCCTGTCTCGGGAAAAAGAAAACAAAAAAAACAAAACAAAACAAAACAACAACAAAAAAACATATGCCACTATGCATGGCTAAACTGGGGTAAATACACTTCTTTTTTTTTTTTTTTTTTTTTTTGGTTTTTCGAGACAGGCACTCGGGAGGCAGAGGCAGGCAGATCTCTGTGAGTTCGAGACCAGCCTGGTCTAAAAGAGCTAGTTCCAGGACAGCCTCCAATACACTTCATTTTAAGTTAAAAACAAAAAACCTGCTCCTAAAGATATTTGTATTGTAACACTTTAACTCGCCGTTAACTTGAAAAGCATTTTCTAAACACCTTATTCTTTTATTATCCTACAATCAAGCATACAGAACACACAGAAAGTTTAAGGTTACTGTCCCAAGAGACCTTTCACCTAGAAGCTGAAAGCAACACTGTCACCGGGCCAAACTAATGACGAAGTTGGGGCCACACTGGAGTGTTGGCGACACGTACCCTCGCGACCCTCACTGTGGGGTATCTAATACCGCTGCGCCCTATAGTATACAACTTTGGGTTCCTGTAGAACACAACTTTAGGAACCTATGCACGCGCCGTCACCGCCGGTCCCACTGACCCGATCTTCTCCGCGCCCCGGAGTTCCAGAGCGCGCGGCAGCTTCGCCGACCCTCGCTGCGCCCGCCGGGTAGCACCGGCGACCTCCAGACTAGCCCCCTACCCACCCTGGTTCCCTTACCCGGTGTTGGGCAGCATGACCTTCGCAGCTCAGAGGACTTGCTAGCAGTGGGACAGCGGCAAGCGGTGAGTGACAGGCCAACCTTCCCTCCGCATTTAGCCGCGCCCCCGGCCCCGCCCCGAGGCCCGCTCGGGAACCTTTCCTTCAAGATGGAGATCGCCGAGTGCGCCTGCGCACAACGGGCGCCGGGCGGGACTTTCCACAGCTCCACAAACGACACCCAGGAAACCAACTCTGCGCGTGCGCCTTGGGAGCTTCTTCCACCCCGCCCCTTTCCCGGGTCTGGTGATGACAATCGGTTTCGCCCCAGGGTCGCTGGCGTGTCCAGAGCATCAGGCCTACGTAGGCTTCCCTCGGCAGTCTGAGGTTCGGAGCGGAGCCGATGCAGGGGCGCGCCGGGGACTAACCTGGGGGTGCTAGCCGTCGTCCTTCCCTGTCCATCCCCGAGCCAAGACGCTGGCTCCGAGGTCCCTCAGGAACACTTTTGGACGTATGAAAAAAGCTTTTGCAGAAATGCTGCCGACGAATCTGAACTTTGCCTGTAGATAGTCGGCGAGAGGACACCTCTGAAAGAGGTCTTTGCAAAGGTCACCCACAAGAATTCATCGTGTATCTCGGCCACAGATGCCAAATTTGGAGAAGGAAATTCTCAGTCCTGGAATGAATGCTGGAATGAGGTCGATTCTGGGATCCGGTTTCGCCTTAGAGTTATACCTAACTCAGTTACCCTGGAAATGAAATTTGTTTTGTATTTTGTAGCGGTAGAAATGATGCTAAAGAGATTATCTGAAGCCTAGTTCAGGAAACCAACTTAAGATAGGTGTGTACTCTCCTATTTGTCACAGGCTAAAGAGATTATCTGAAGTCTAGTTCAGGGAACCAACTTAAGATAGGTGTGTACTCTCCTATTTGTCACACGCTAAAGAGATTATCGAAAGCCTAGTTCAGGAAACCAACTTAAGAAAAAAAAAGTTGTGAATATTTTTAGTCATAAAACTGGTATCTTGCAGGGCAGTAGTGGTGCATGCCAACACTCGGGAGGCAGAGGAAGTCAGATCTCTGTGAGTTCGAGGCCAGCCTGGTCTGCAGAGCAAGTTCCAGACAGCCAGGGCTATACAGAGAAACCCGGTCTGGAAAAACAAAAACAAAAAACTGGTATCTTGTAAACCCACACCTAGACTTATGTTATTTGGGGGTGTTTGTGGAAAGTTAAGTTTATTCCTAAATTATTAGTAGTAATTTTTCTAGTTAAATTAAAATGAAATCTTTAGGATTATTTATGGTTCTATGTTTATGGGCATTTTGCTTGCCTGCCTGCATGTCTGTGCCCTGCCTGAAGAAGAGGTCAGAACTGGGTGCCAAGTTCCCTGGAACTGAGTTACAGGTGCTAGTTAGCTGCCATATAGGTTTTGAGAATCAAACCCTGGATCCTTTGGAAGAACAGCCAGTGCTCTTAACCACTGAGGCATCTCTCTTGCCCTAAATTAAATCTTTTTTTATTAAATTTTTTATTTAAATTCTTTAATTACTACTCATATTTACATATCTATCACCCCATTCCCTCACCCTCCCATGTTCCCCACCAACCCTGCCAACCCACCCCCAACTCCTCCCCAGGGATAGTGAGGTCCCCCACCAGGGACCTTCAAAGCCTGTCATATCATTTGGGGGAGAGCATAGGCCCTCCTTGCTGTATCTGGGCTACAATAGTATCCCTCCATAGGGAATAGGCTCCCTAAATTAAATCTTTAAATTAATAAATAAATAACAAGACTGGAGAGATGGCTCCATGGTTAAAAGTGAATGCTGTTCTTGCTGAGGTCCTGGGTTTGATTCCCAGCACCTGTGTCTGATGGCTTACAACCACCTGCAACTACAGCTTCTGGGGATCTTAGGGCCTTCTGTCCTCCACAGGCACCCCCCACACACACATGCACACACACACACACACACACACACACACACACGTACACACACGTACACCAATATAAATAAATAGCAAGGTATGGTGAAGTACAACTTTTATTCCAGCACTCTGGAGGCCGAGGCAGATAGCACTACAAAGTGAGCCCCTATATCAAAAAAATTAAGTAAATAAATAATTGAATCTACTGCATTAAATATTCTGACTAGTGTTAAAATGTGATTTAGAGCTATCCATGACCTTCCACAGTAGTGATTAATGTAACCTACAAGCCAGACATGGTGGCCCATGCTCCTACCTAGCCTTCAAGGGGCTGAGGCAAGCCTAAACTGTGAGACCCTATCTCAAAACAAAACAAAACCCGTGCTAGAGGTGGAGAGTGAGTAAGGAAGGATAGGTCTTGTTAATAATATTAGATACGACTTTACAAGATGAGCAGTTTGGATTTAGGAGGATTTCTTCAGGCTGCAGTGTGAAGCATAGCTTCAAAGAATATTGAGGCACAGAAGCCTATAACAATGCCATGAATAAGAAAAATGTTAGATGATGTGGCCTAGAGCACTAATGGTGGGCGGAAAGATATATTTAAGAAGTAGAACCAACCAGATTTAACTGATGAATACATGCAGAGAGAAGAAAGATGATGATGTCGGAGATGACTGCCAAATTCCTGGGAATATATTGGCACAAGACAGTGGTTCCTCAAAAAATTAAAAATATAATCGCAGTGTATGAATCACGGGCAAATAGAAGAGAGGTTTGCACACCTATATTGGTTGCAGCATTATTTAGAATAACCAAAAGTTTACAAGTGTTTGTTCTTTGATGGGAATAGTAAACTAAATGTAGTATTATGTATCACGTAGTATCTATCACTCAGTATAATGACAGCCAATCTGTAGTCCATAAGGTTAATATATCTTTATTCAGATAAACACCAGCCAAACGCAAGCCAGAGCGTGCCAGGGACAGCAAGTCAGGCAGGCCAGAGAGAAGGGTTTTCCATGTGCTTTGCAGCCCCTTAAAAACCTATTATAAGTCATTCTAACCTCACCTTGACCACGCCCTGACAGGCATGGTCAGGCACACCTGTAGCCAGCCCTTAGGAGGTGTGGTTACGGTGTCTCCCTACAACTCAGTCTTGTTTGAAACGGTATCTCTATATAGTAGCTGTCTTGGAACTCACTATGTAGACCAGGCTGGCTTCAAACTCACAGTGATCCTCTTGCCTTTGCCTCCCAAGTGTTGGGATTAAAGGTGTCCTCTGCCACCATCTAGTGGTGTATGATGGTGTATTTTTATTTCATGTATGCCAGTGTTTGGCTTGCATATCAATGTATCCCATGTATATACATTTCCCTCTGGGGCCCAAAGAGAGTGTTGGGTCTCTGGAACTGGAGTTAGAGATAGCTGTAAGCCACCACATGGGTGCTAGGAATTGAACCTCGATTCTCTGTAAGAGCAGCCAGTGCTCTTAACCACTGAGCCAGGTCTGTAGCCTCCCTAAAATTAAATAATTTTTTTCAAAAGCAAACCAGCATGGTGACACCTCTATAATCCCAACTTCTTGGAAAAGATGAAGGAAGAGAGTTACCAGACCAAAGGCCACCTGGACTCCATAGGGAGTTCAAGGGCAACATTGGGTAACTGAGCCAAGGACTCTGTCTGAGAGTTACATGGTGATACTCCGACCCCAAACAAGACACAACCATAGAATGTACAGCATAACATACAAACACTAATGTAAACCATGGACTTGAAAGATAATGTGTCAGCATTGTTTCAGCATTGATTGTATCAATTCCAACACACCAATTTGGGGTGTTAATGATAAAGAGGGGCTCACAGTAAATGACTAACCTTCTTTGTCAATTTGACTGAATTTAGAATCACCATGGAAATGCATCTCTGGAAGGGCCTATGAGAGTGTTTACAGAAAAGTTTAACTGGGGAGGGAGGGTTCACACTGATGAGGTGGCCCGATTCCATGGGCTCAACACAAGGACTGAAGAGAAAGAAAAAAACAGTCTAAGTACCGTCATTCATTGCTCTTCTTCCTGGCTGTGGATGCAGTGGCCAGCTGCCTTCCCCGACAGGATGGACTGCATCCTCAAACTGTGAGCCAAAAGAAATTTCCTAAGTTGTCATCATCAGCCATTTTGTCACAGAAACAATTAAAATACTAATGCAAGCAGAAAACCACACTTTCTCAGTTTTTTGATGAACACTAAACTGTTCTAAAAATGTGTGCTCTGTTCAAAAATAAACAAACAAAAACAAATATGCTACCAACATAAAAGCAGGCATGTAGATCAGTGTAATGGAGTTGGGAGCATAGAAATACGCCTATCTGTTGCCAATTGCTTTTATCAATCAATTTGGGCCAAAACATCCTTTTTATTTTACAAGGATTTCAGATAACTAGAAATTCACATGCATAAAACTGGACTCGACACTCACACTTCATAGTAAAATCAATGTACAATAGGTCAAAACCCTAAACATAAGAACTAGAACTGTAAAGTTCTTAGATGAAAACACAGAGGTAAATTTTCATAGCCTTGTGTTTGGCAATGGTTTTTTCGATCCAGCAGCAAAAGCACAAACAAGAAGAGAAATGCAAGGCATTGGGATTCATCAGAATTTAGAAGTTCTCAGGCAGAGGGTCCACTAGTTACAGGACTGTTAGCCCACTCACTGCCCCTTGCCCTGTACTCAGTAAACCTATTTTCCATTTTTTCCAATTTTCATGTGTGTGTATGTGTGCTCCTACGTGTGTGTGTGTGAGGGGGGGTATGGTGCACATAAGCATGTGTCTGCATCCGTATGGAGGCTAGAGGTTGACGTCAGGAACTTGACTTCTCCAGGCAGTGTCTCTAAATCTAACCCAGAGCTCCTCAAAAGAATATGGCTAGTCATACAACAAAAGGAGATCAAGGGAATACAAATTGGAAAGGAAGAAGACAAACTCTCACTATTTGAGGATGATATGATAGTCTACATTAGTGACCTGAAAAACTCTACCAGGGAACTCCTACAGCTAATAAACTTCTTCAGCAAATTGGCAGAATACAAGATTACCTAAAAAAAAATTCTGTAGCCCTACTATACACGGATGACACATTGGTGGAGAAAGAAATCAAGAGAAGCATCACCCTTTACAATTGCCACAAATAACATCAAATACCTTGGAATAACACTAACCAAAAAAGTGAAAGATCTCTACCGTA